TGCCTGTATGCTTTCCCCTCACAATCAACCGCCTTTCCATTCCTCACAGTCCAGTTCCCATACCTCTGAAGTTCTGTTCCAACCCTCCAAACCCCTATCCCTCATACTCCCGCACCCCCAAACTCCACCTCCCCCACCCCCCCCGTCAGGTGCTGACGTTTGGCTGCATCTTCCGCCGGGCGCTGGAGATGGCCTTCGAGTCGACTCAAAAGTCACCACCCCCCCCCATCTCCCCCCTTCTTCCCTCCCTTCCGCCCCCAGGTGCTCACACTCGGGCACATCTTCTGCCGTGGGCTGCAAGCGCCATTTCAGTCGACTCAAAAGTTCTTCCTCCTCCCCTGCGCCTCCCCTCTCCCCGCCGTCCCCTCCCCTCCCCTCCCCTTCCCCCCCGCCCAGGTGCTGACGTTTGGGCGCATCTTCTGCCGGGCGCTGGAGGCGCAGAGCCTGATAGCGGTGGTGAACACGGCGCTCACCTTCCTGGGCATGATGCTGCTCAACATCCACGGCATCCTCGTGCCCTCCCTCCCTCCTTGCCTCCTCCCGGCCTCCCTCTTCCCTACACCTTCCCCTTACCTTCGCCCTCCCTGCGTCCCCTTTGCCCCAACCTTCAAAACCACCCCTCCCCCGTCCCCTTCCCTCCACTCCCCCCCAACCCCCACCCCCTCAGGTGCTCACATTCGGCCGCATCTTCTGCCGTGCTTTGGAGGCGCAGAGTCTGATCGCGGTGGTGAACACGGCGCTCACCTTCCTGGGCATGATGCTGCTCAACCTCAACGGCATCCTTGTGCTCGCCGCCGTCGTCTTTGTCTTCTCCTTTGTGCCCGTCGCTGGTGTCGTCATCTCCACCGTCCCCATGGGCCTCGTCGCTCTCTCCGAGTGAGTCTGGGTTGCTAATGAGCCTGGCTTTGAGTGAGTTTGGTTCCGACCGACTCAGGAATAATTCATCTTACGCACCTTAGAGCCGTCCCTCTTCTCTCCTTGATTTTTATGGCCGGCGTCGTCATCTCGACCGCCATCTCACAATTCGCCAATCGGATCTCATTGCTCTCTCCAAGTGACTTGGATTCCGAGTGCAGATCGCATTTTCTATGGTCTAAGCTCAGGTTGCAGTTTGAGAGGTGATTGTTTAGGCACCTCACAAGCCGCACTTCAGTGGGCTGGGTTTGGATGAACAGGCTTCTGTGTCTGTCGCTTCGATGTGATGATAGGTTCTCACTCTTCTGGGATGATGCTTGTGCGCGTGTGGGTATGTGTGAGTGCGCGCATGCATGGATTTGCACCCACCCCTGACTGCATACATGTGTGGTTGTCCGTGAATGCGTGCATGTGTGTGTGTCCGTGCGTGCTCGTGTGCATGCCTGCATAATTTCATGCGTGTGAGCAGGGGTGGGGTGGTGAAGGTGGTGCTGGTGGTGCTGATGGTGGTGCTCATGCATGCACTTGAAGCCTACATTCTCAACCCTGCCATCTACTCAGGTGACTCCTCCTCTCCCATCTTCCCTCTTCCTCTGCTCCTCTGCTCCCATGCGCCCGTGCTCTCATGCCCCCATCCCATGCTCCCATGCGCCCGTGCTCTCATGCTCTCGTATTCCCATACTCCTGATGCTGCCTTTCATTAACTGCAATGCCTCGAGCCGGATCAACAACTGTCCCTCCTCATCCCTGCTCGTCCCTACTTCTCCCTGCGTGTCTCTCCTTTTCCCTCCGCCACCCTTCTTCACCCCTTCTCACACCTCACCACCGCCTGACACTCACCATGTTCCCTTACCGCATACATCACAGCATGCCATGCTCTCTCTTTCTCCTCTGCATACCACCATGAAACCCTGTGCCTCGTAGTACCACTTCACTGCTCTCACCGTGTTCCCCCTGCCGCATACATCACAGCATGCCATGCTCTCTCTTTCTCCTCTGCATACCACCTTGAAACCCTGTGCCTCGTAGTACCACTTCACTGCACTCACCGTGTTCCCCCTGCCGCATACATCACAGCATGCCATGCTCTCTCTTCCTCCTCTGCATACCACCATGAAACCCTGTGCCTCGTAGTACCACTTCACTACTCTCCTGCTTACCCTTCCCCTTCCCCTTCCCCTTCCCCTTCCCCTTCCCCTTCCTCCTGCTGCCTCCCTTCCTCCCCCCAACCACTCCCCTCCCCCCCCGCGTCCGCCCCTCTCCCCCCTTCCGTCCCAGCAGCCCATCTGAAGCTGCACCCCATTCTCATGCTCGCAGTGCTGCTGGTAGCAGAGCATGCCATGGGCGTGTGGGGCCTGCTGGTATCAGACCAATCCATCTCTTGGCCTCTGTGCCTCGTCAGCATAGTCGGATCACAATCTTTCACTGCTTACCCTGCTTTTCCCTTCCCTCTGCTTCTCCTTGTCCCTCTTTCCTTCTCTCTCCCCGGCTCCGTCCCAGCAGCCCATCTGAAGCTGCACCCCATTCTCACGCTCGCAGTGCTGCTGGTAGCAGAGCATGCCATGGGCGTGTGGGGCCTGCTGGTTGCCGTACCCCTTACAGTCTTCATCGTTAAGCACATCATCCACACCAACCCCCTCGCATCGCTGGATGGTCTATCAGAACCAACACTCTTATCCTCATCATCGTCATTACCATCACCATCCGCAAAGCCTCTATCACAGTCGGAAGACAAGTCTGATGATTTAGCTTCGCCTGACCACCACCCAGCAACTTGAGAGGTCAGAAACAAACTTGAGGTGGTTCATTTTAAGTGCACCTTCCTTCCGCATCCCCTGACCTTTCTGACATGTCAAAAGCATGGCAACCACACCTTATTTCTGCATCGCCTGCAGCACAGAACTAGGTGCTTCTAGTCTTGATGAGAAAAGTCAGTGCGGAGAAGCATTGGGTTGGGAGAGTGCATGTATGACAACAGTGTGGTACTGAAACGGGTGCCAAGGAATGTGCGTGGGTGGGCCACTGTGTTGCTCTGTCTTGCTCTGTGTTCCTCTGTAATGCTCTGTAATGCTCTGCAGGACACTTGTGATGGCAAACTCTCCTCTGCTCTGCACATACTCGCTTCACCTCACTCGTTTCAGCCCACTCACATACAACCTCACCTTGTTTAACTTACCGTGCTCGTCCAAACTGGTTCATTCCAACGAACACGCTGCGCTTGGCTCTCTACAAGCAACCCTTCTCAGCCCTGACTCGTGCTCACATCTCTAACATGTATCTCTGACTGTGTCTGGATGTTACATGTGTGCAGGTGAATGCTTATGCTTCCCCATGTTCTCCGCTCGGCAACAGCCTGACGGAATCCACTCATTCTATCAACCGTTGCCACGCGTGTGGCATGAACACCGTATGTGTAGCATTCTTCTTTCACCCATGGCCACATGTGTACTTACTCAGTCCCAGAAATTGTAACCTAACATGTGCTGGTGCAGCATCTTTCGCATACCATAATAACATGGCTACGAGTTTCCATGGTGAGCCCTTACCGGTACCTTTGTGACCAAGCATTTGGTTTGGAGGTGCATTGAAACTGCAGTAAGAGGTGGCGTCACTGACTCAGCAGCTGATCAATAAAAACTACATCTGTGATGCAACGGTACTGTATTATTCTGCCATGTGATCCCATCGCCCTACGTAATGCCAAGATAATTGTAAACGTCAGCATTACCCATTTACATTATTCCGCGGGAAGAACCCAATTCGTGTATGTATGTCAAACAATACCGTACCATAGGTTACGAGGCGTTCCAGAATGTTGCGTTGGCATACCACATCACAAAGAATACCGTAATAAGTCACAGGCGGCACATTGCTAACCCACTTCATTTCATCCATGATCTCTTGTAGCTAGGGCAAGCAGTTAATCCGGCAGACAGAAAGAAGGGAAACCTAATCCCCCTTTCCCTTTTCTCCCATCGGTTCAACTCAGTGATAGGTGGTACCGTACGAGTGCCACTGAGAAGGCACTCGATTGCCATTGATGTGTCGTGTCATACAATTGGCATTGGATTGCAGTGGTGCGCACTGCACTGCACTCTGCAGCTAGAGTGCAGCATTAAAGCCAACCTGGAAGCCGTGCTTTACAGCGACATCGTGGGGGTGCTTGCGCAGAATGAAACAGTAGTTCGCCTGTATAGCATGGCATGGGATGGCATGGCATGGCACAGCATGAGCACAGTAGGGAGGGAGGGAGGGAGCGGCAGCAGTGAGGTGGAAAGCTTGCTATTTGAGGCGCCTTGGTAAAAAAAAGGGGGGGCACACGGGAGGCAGGGCAGGATGGAGAGATAGGCAGCAGCAAGGTGGAAAGAAAGACACCACGAGGAGACCCAACTCACCTCCAGGCGACCGATGAGCGTGGGCCATACAAGCCCCACTCCCGCTGTGCACACCGCCGTGCACACCACCGTGCACCTCATTGCAGCAAGATGACTGCTGAGTCAAATCAACAAATGCGCAACTCACCTCCAGGCGACCGATGAGCGTGGGCCATACAAGCCCCACTCCCGCTGTGCACACCGCCGTGCACACCACCGTGCACCTCATTGCAGCAAGATGACTGCTGAGTCAAATCAACAAATGCGCAACTCACCTCCAGGCGACCGATGAGCGTGGGCCATACGAGTCCCACTCCCGCCGTGCACCTCATTGCAGCAAGCACCTCCCTCCCCACCGACCTCGTCACCTCCACCACCCTCCCAGCCACATTCCCCACTCCTCCTCCTCCTACCACTCCTCCCGCTGCCCCTCCCCCTTCCCCTCCCACACTCTGCCCCGCCCACGCCCTGCCAGCAGCACCGGAAACACTCTCCAGGGACAGCAGCGCACCAGCAGAGGCAAGCACGTGCCCGTGCACGCCCGCCTGCTGTAGCGGCTTTAGGAACGGCAAGTCAAACGAGAGCGCGGTTGTAGCGGAGAGGGAGAGATCGCCGCCCAGGAAGTCGCGCGCGCGGGAGGGTGCCGGGCGGGGAGCGGTGGGGCCCACTGCGTGGTCTTGGAAGCCCCGGAGAGAGGAGGGGCCTCCGAGAAAGAATCGGTCGTTGATGAGGGAGTGTGGGGGGGATGGGGAGGAGGGAGGAAGGGAGGCAGGGGAGGGAGAGGAGGAGGTGGTAGAAGGTGCAGGTTGAGGGGAGCGTGAGAGGGCGGGGAGGGAAGGGAGGGAGGGGAGGGAGGAGAGGGACCAGGGGAGGAGGGCGCCGATGCGGAAAGAAGAGGTGAAAGCAGCATTGGCGATGGGCAGAGGGAGGGCCGTTGCTAGCTCCAGCTCCTGGGTACGGGTGTGGGGACGGGAGACAGGGGAGGAGTGGGGGGGGATTGGAGGGGGAAAGGGGGGTGGAGGGGCGAGAAGGGGGGGTGGAGCCGCGTGAATGGGTGTGGTGATGAGTGTGGGTGATAGGGTTGCTGAATTGGCTATTACATTGGCTCGCAAGCTCCCACATGCAACCCCACCCCACATGCACCGGTACCTGGACAAAACTGCCAAGCACTGTTGCCCTCACCTGGGAAAATTTCGCAGCTCTGTTGCCTTCACCTGGGACGGATTGGCAGCTCTGTTGTTCTCACCTGGCGCAGGAAGCTGACGAGCTTGGGATCCGTGCCCAGCCCTGCCAGCTCTGTTGTGGCACGCATTGCATACCCGATCCTAGGGCGGACCTGGGAATCCCTGGGAAGAGAAAGAGACACGGAGAGAGGATTTTGAGATGATTTAAAGGGACACGCCCAGCCCTGCCAGCTCTGTTGTGGCGCGCATTGCATACCCGGTTCTTGGGCGGACCTGGGAATCCCTGGGAAGAGAAAGAGACAAAGAGAGAGAAAAAGGAGAGAAAGAGAGAGAGAATGTTGAGTCAACTCAAAGTGGCAAGCTTGGGGTAAGAGCCCACTCCTGCCAGCTCTGTTGAGGCACGCATCGCATACCCGGTTCTTGGGCGGACCTGGGAATCCCTGGGAAGACAGAGAAAGGAGAGAAAGAGTATTTTGAGTCGACTCAAAATGACGAGCTCTGGACCAGGACCAGCCCTGCCAGCTCTGTGGTAACACGCATCGCATCGCATACCCCGTCCTAGGGCGGACCTGGGAATCCCTGGGAAGAGATACGAATGAACAGGCAGGGAGAGAGAGAGCGGAAGAGGCTGGAAGAGTTTGCAATAGAGGATTTAGGGACGGACAATGGAAGAGCTTGCACGGAGAAGCGAAGCGCAATGTGGGGCAAGCGTGCACACGAAATGCCCTCTGTATGTCCTTGCTCGGTTGGAGGAGGCATGGATGGAGGCTATGCGGAGATTGACTGACAGTGTATGTGCATGCAGTTAATTGACAAAACGGAGAGGCAGGTTCACCAACCAAGCTGTGTGACACGTTGTAGACTTTTGCGCGAACTCTCAAGTCACTTTAGGTCGACTAAGAGTCTAGGAAGCACTAGGCATGATAGACGGCTTGAAACGGCAGGAAGAGAGAGAGGAGGGTGCAGACCTCTTGTCGATGCTGTAGACGTATCGGACAGCGGAGAGCAGCGAGTTACCCAGGTCACGCTGAACAGCGGGCGAGCACACACCGCGCACCACAGCAGGCGCAGGAGCTATCCCCGACCCACCACCACCATCACCCCCACCGCTTCCACTGCCGCTGCTGCTGCTGGCGGTGCTGGTGCTGCTGCTGCTGGTTTTGGTGGTTGATTCGGCGCTAGTGGCGGCTACGGCGGAGTTTTCTCGCCACGTCAGCTCGTACGCCAGCTCGTGCCTGCCCACGTGGAGGCCCAGCGTGGCGCCACGTAGGCACTGGGAGAGCGAGGTGTAGGGCAGCATAGAGCGGGTGGTCTTGAACAGCCGCAGCTCCACATAGGGAAACGTCGTAGGAGCATCAGAAGCAGGAGAAGCAGGAGAAGCGGAGGAAGAGGAGGAGGAGGGATGAGAGTACGGGGAAGGGAGGAGGGATTGCAGGGAGGGCGGGAGGAGCAGGAGCGGGCAGGAGAGGGAGAGAGCGAAGGAGTTGCCGGCAGTCTGCAGGATGGACCAGGAGGAGATGCCGGAAGAGGCGCCGTCATGACCCACACCGAGAGACACGTCGAGCGACTCGGCGTACCCGAGAAGGTTCTTGAGGGTTATGCGCGCCTCACTGGTGCGCCCGTCCCTCTGACAGGGGGAGAGAGGAGAGAGGGTGTGGGGAGGGAGGAAGGGGAGGAACGGGGGATGGAGGGGAAGGGGTTGGGGAGGGTGGAAGAAATGGGGAGGAGAGAGGGACGGATGAAGAGGGGGGTTGAAGTTAGGGTGCAGCACAAGGGGAGTTGCCTGCAGTCTGCAGGATGGACCAGGAGGAGATGCCGGAGGAGGAGGCGCCGTCATGACCCACACCAAGAGAGACGTCGAGCGACTCGGCGTACCCGAGAAGGTTCTTGAGCGTTATGCGCGCCTCACTGGTGCGCCCGTCCCTCTGACAGGGGGAGAGAGAGGGGGAGATGGGAAGGATACGGGGGCGGAAGTGGAGGAGGGTGGGGGGGTGTGCAAGATAGTGAGAGAAGAGAAAGAGGGGGAATTACAAGAGGGAAGAAGAGGGAGACGAAGAGGAAAGATGGAACGGGAGGGGAATAAATGCGGAAAAGATGGGGACAGGGGGATGGGAGAATGGCGTGAGGGGGACAGGCAGGGCGACAGGAAAAGCGGGGGAGAGGAAGGACGAAGGACGAAGGACGGGGGGAGGGGGGAGGGGGAATGGGGGAAGGGAGGGAGAAAGGGCAAAGGGGAGGGGGGAAAGAGCACACTCTTGAGCGCTGGTCCACTCACATGCCCCGCTCATCGCACACACCACACATACGCACACCCTATTCCCATCCTCACTCCTCTCACACACAATAACCCGCCATCCTTACTCCCTTCCCCCCAACTCAATCCCTCTTCCGCCAGTCCCCCGCGCACCCTCCCCCTCCTCCATACCCCATCCCAATTCACTTCCTATAATCTCCCCCTTCCCCTTCAAACGTTGTCCACCCTGACTCTCCTCCTCACGCGCTCACCTGCAGGTACGTGCCGACGTTAGCGGCCAGCACGCTATCCTCCTTCACGTTAATCACAACTCACTTCCTACTAGTCTCCCCCTTCCCTTTCCCTCCAACGTTTTCCACCCCGCCTCTCCTTCACACGCGCTCACCTGCAGGTACGTGCCGACGTTCGCGGCCAGCACGCTATCCTCCTTCACGTTAATCACAACCGTTGCGGTGCCAGGCGGGTCCCCGGGGAGCGCGTCCACCACTATAGTCACATCCTCGAACACCCCCAGCCCTCGCAGCGCCCGATTGGCGCGTAGCAGCGCCGCCTGCAGATCCTCGAAGGTTCCGCCCGCCGATTCCGCTTCCGCCGGTTGCGCTTCCGCCAGCTCCGCCAGCGCGCCCGCCATGATGCGGGAGATGATCGCTGCTTTCGTGCGCTTGTTCCCCGCGATGATCACGCGCGCAACGCGGCACGGGCGCGCGCGGATCCGCTCGTAGATACTCCTCGCCTCGCGGCTCATGCGCGGAGCGGCTCGGCGGACCGGCGCGCCCGCTCCTTCCGCCTTCCCTTCATCGAATCCCCCTTCTTCCTCCTCCCCCTCCTCCTCCTCATCCTCCTCTTCGTCCTCGTCCTCCCCCTCCCCGTCGCCCTCCTCATCTTTCTCCTCCTCCTCCGCCGCCGTCTCCTCCACCTGCTCCTCCCCCTCGCCCCCCTCCCCTTCCCCATCCCCCTTCTCATCCGCACCCTCCACTTCCTCCACCACCACAGCCACCACCTCCTCCGCCTCCCCTTCCGCCACCCCTTCCGCCTCCCCTTCCGCCTCCGCCTCCGCGTCCCCACCACCCGCCACGGCAGCAGCAGGCGCGGCAGCCTCCTCCGCGTCGTCCCCGTGGTCCCCCAGACTTTCCGCCTCTCTCCCGTTCTCGGCCTGGTTTCCCTCATTCCCCTTCTCCTCACTCGCAGATACGCGCGATTCGTCTGCCCCTGCATCGAATGCTGCGTGTACGTCCCCTTGACTGGCCTTTTCTTCTCCTCCCTCTACTCGCACCGCGGAGTCCCCTCCATTCTCCTCGTTTCTCGCGTGAGAATCGCCCGACCGGTCCTCATCCATCCCCATGCCTCCTCGTTCTCCTGCTCGTGCACCGCCGTACAGCGCGTAAGAACGTTCCCGCCGCACTCTGTAAGACGAACTCCCAAATTCCTTGCCTCGTTTCTTCGAAACAGGAAATACCAGGCAATGGAAGTAGGAGATCTAACGTAGACTGAGGACGATCCGCGTGCTGCGACGGCTCGGCGGTCGGGCGGGGCTCGCACCGGGGATGAGATGAAGGAGAAACGTTGATCTGATCTGGAATCTGATTCAGACAGCAACGGATCAACGGGTTTGAACTGCGAATGGTGGGATGGTGAGAGGCATTTCAGAAAGATTTTGGGGGTGGAATGGAGGAAACTGGGAGTTTAGAGGGGAATAAGCGGAACGGAATAGATGGAGTTGTATATTGTTGTTTTCGAAAAACTGTACACGAAGTTTATACCGCACTTAACTCCTGATAAATGCAAGTGCGTGTGTTTACGAAAACTTTGGGGGAAGTGGAGGGGCAGAGACGGGGAAGAGGGGAAACGAACGGAGTTGAGGGGAGGGGAGAGGTGGCGGAGAATGAGGGGGCAGGTGGTAGGGATTGAGGGTTGCTGCGATTGGAGACCAGCTACATTTGTGTCGTAACGTTTTGTAGCGAAGAAGGTAACAGCAGGCAATCTAAAAGCAGGTAACAGCGGGCACTCTAATTGTAGCGAAGACTGAAACAGCAGGCACTCCACTCCCAACTGCAAAATGGAAGCTGCTCGAAGAGTGCATTGATCTGGTTACGTAAGTCTGTCGCAACTGTTCGCCTGCTTCTCACTACTCGCCGCGAACTCACTTAGTTACTACTGGCTTTCAGACCACTTATCTGCTGACGCCGCCATCATTGTAACTTCCTTCTCTGCCATCAAATAGCGTGCAAGCAGCCGATTTTCAGTCGCCCTATTTTGAATCGTAAGCAAGCATCAGACCGATGGATCCGTCAGCTTCCGCGCATGCGCGCATGGCGGAAGATGCGGGAGAGCCGAATCGACAGGGACGCGGCGGCGCCAGTGAATCGGCAGAGGTTCCAGAGAGTCGCGTGCGCTGTGAAACCAGCGATATGGGCATAGATGGTGATAGGTCAAAGAGTAAATCAATCAGGGAGCCGGAGGGTGCGGAGGATCGGGCAGTGGCGTCCCCTTCCGGTTCAGACTCCCCCGAGGCCCCTGCCTCGCCTCCGCCGTGGTATGACGCGGAGATGGATGAGCGGGACGAGCGGTGGATGGCGAAGGCGCGGAGGCGGCGCGGAGGGCGGAGCTCTGACGCTATTCTTAGCTGCCCTGCCTGCCTGTCGTCCGTCTGTTTCGATTGCCAGAGGTGTGTGTGTGAGAGAGAGTACCGTTCATCCTCACCCCTACCTCTCTCTCTCTCTCTCTCTCTCTCTCTCTCTCTCTCTCTCTCTCTCTCTCTCTCTCCCTCTCTCCCTCCCTCTCTCTCTCTCTCTCCCGAACGGTCCGTCGTATTAATATCAGCAAGGTACACACAAGGTAAGGCAACACCTACACACAGCAATGCAACAGCAGCAATCTACTAACCTAGCACACAGCAATCTACATCCCCTCCCCCTTCCGGCCCTAGTAGCCGGAGGGGTCTATCAGTTGGTACAGCTGGCCCTCGCTCAGTGGAGTAAAAGGGCCCTGCAGGCCTAGCACATCCCCAGTAAGAGCCTCATGGGTCTTATCCCTGAGGGCATTGGCTTGGGCTCTCCCTCTCTCTCTCTCTCTCTCTCTCTCTCTCTCTCTCTCTCTCTCTCTCTCTCTCTCTCTCTCTCCGTCTCTCACACACACACAGAGTCTTGCACTAAACCTCACCGTTTTCCCTTTTTCCCTTACTGTCTATCTCCTGGTCCCACACACATTCACCTGCTGCCCGGTCACCTCTCTCCTGGTTCCCCACTCTCCTCCCTTTATTCTATGCTTGCTCTGCTGCATTGGAATCCTCACAGGCACGAGCGCTTCACCACACAGTACCGAGCAGTCTTTGCAGTCAACTGTGCAGTGAACACGTCCCAGAAACTGGTGATGCCGTCAGGTAAAGACGGAGGCAGCAAGAAGCGCAAGGGCAGGGGGAAGAGTGGAGGGGCGAAGGAGCAAGGGAGCACTGGTGGGGGTGGCGGGGGAGGTGTGATTGGGGGGGAGGGGAGTGCGGGAGGTGAAGAGGAGGTGATGCATCCAGTGATGTGTGAGACGTGTGGGACAGAGGTTGGTGTGTTTGATGCCAAGCAGCAAGTGTATCACTTCTTCAATGTTTTGCCAACCAATTGCTGAGATTGCAATGTTAGTGATTTACATCACAATGGTTCTGATCATGTTTAGGCCAAAGGGCAGGGCATACAAGAGCGGCTGGAACGGCAATAAGGGTTTTGTGCAATCTTTCACGGCGAACGGCGATACAATACAAAGGCAACACCTAGATTCATTTCATCACCGCCGCCTTGAGCAGCAAAACTAATCGAGGGTCTCTTCCAAGGCAACACCTGGATTCATTACTAAGGGCATATACTAGGCTGAGCTGCACCTAGCTTGGATAGTTTGGATCATTTGTTCTGTTTGCTACTGCAATTTGTTTTCCATAATACATAACTTAGAGATGCGTGTTCAGAAATCACTTTGAATCGCATGGTCTGTTCCAGCCTCACCACTGGCTCGTGTCCTTGAGGTGCGGAGTCGTACACCCTTGTACGCCAGCGTGAGACATTTCTTCAAAAACCTCCACACACCGTTCCGAGCCTCCGTCACAACTTTGCCCCTCCAAGTTCGGCCCGCAATCTGCCTGGTTCGACTAGCCAAGCAAATACGCTCGGTCCGAGCGAGAAACCAGCCTCCTCACCCAGCGGGAATAGCGATCCTCTTGCAAGCACGCTCGGCTTACGTTAGGAACTGAACTGTACAGTTTCAGTAAACCTGTTCCCCCGTTCCCCAGCCCAGCCCGGATCCCTCGTCTTGGTTGACTAGGCGCGCCCATCACGCCACGCACATCGGCGCCAATAACTTCGCCCAAACGAGTCTGACTCCCGACATCGTCGGGGCGAGAATCTCAACCTCCTTGCTCCTTCCTACCCACTGCGATGGCGTCAAGGCAAGAAGGGCCGGTGTGTAGATGGCGTATAAAGAATAGACGCGCAAGGCGTCTCGGCATGAAACAGGTCGTCCAAACTCATACCTCGTACTACAAACAGCACCTGCTCGATTTCCCGGTTTTGCCCGTGAAGCTGTGTGACAGCAGTCAGCAGTAATTCTGGAGGGACGTGCGCGGCGTTTCGTCCTGTGTAGAAGAGTCCACTACGAGGAGATGAACCTATTTCACGCTCTCCGCTCCGTAATAGCCGTTCTGAGAGGGCGACGACCGTTCGAAGGCCAGGAGGCTATGGAGGCGGACTTATTCGAGGCAATCCCGCTCGCCGTCTCCTACCCGCCGGAAGGCCGAGTCAACTTTCCAGGGAACCGCACCACCGCAACCAACCGCCCATTCGGCGAAGAAGGGCCGTCATTCGTTCCTGATCAAGCCGCTGGGACTTACCCTCCGAATGTCGAGGCGCGGGATTTTCAACCTGAAGCCGGCGGCAGCGCCGGCCATTCTCGCCGGCGGCTGGTAGTCTGGCCGGTGTGCTCGGGGCCGAGCACGAAGCCGACGGTGATCACTTTCAGAAATGCGACCGACACTGCTGTGCAACCGTACTGGGTCGACTATGACGGAAAGGAGGTCCGTTTCAGTCCGTCGTTTTTCTTTCGTTAATCCGTTAAGGCCGTGAGCAATTCGTGTGGCGCACCACACGCTTTCGCGCGTCCGAACGCCCTAACTTCTTTCTCCATACAATCCGTTTCTCCCGCCCGTCGCATTGCCTTTGCTTTCGCCGCGCAGGTTCCGTACGAGTGTTTACAGCCGGGCCGCGTGTACAGGCAGCGGTCGTTCGTGCAGCACCCGTGGGTGTTTCGCGACAAGGCGACGCACGAACCATTCGTCGTCGGCAAGAGAGCTGTACGAAACATTTTTTCTCGAAAAAAATAAGCTTTATTTCATTCGTCTACACCTGTGCTCGCGAATGTTCAGTTCTCCACTCGTTCTTCGTAATCGCCACGTCTTTCATAATAAGCAAATGTCAGGAATTCACTCATATTGTCCTCCCTTCCCACCTCCCTCGTGTGAACGCGGTATAACTTAGTTCTTCAAGCGTCCTCCACTATATTCCGCTTTCGTGCTTACCACAGTTGGCTTTTCCGCAGGATTCGTCACGGAGCGAGATGATTATCAAGCGTCCGGAGTTGCTTCCATGGACGGCGGCATCGCACTATCGGTTTCCGATGGAATTCAGAGGCTTCGTGGCTGCGTTGCTCCTCTGCTGCAACAGATTAACGAAGCAGCAACACGCGCAGGTGAGACGAGTGGACCGGATGTGACGCCAGCTTACAGCACAATGAGCTTTTTTTCTACATAGCACTCACTGTCCTCGTAACGCAAAGCACTATGGGATCCAATGCGCTCTAACGTATTACGGTCCACGCGCTAACAAACTTATCCATTCTCGCGCGCGCCTCCCTCCAACAGGGCGTGTCTTTCAGGCGCAAACGGGCTCAAGCTGCTCCACTACTGGGAGACCTCCTTGCTGGATTGCCATCGGATGTGCTGCTTGTGATTATAGCGAAAACCGCGCCATCAAACAGACATCGAGGGTGTGTGCTGCTACTAGAACCGTACTTCGTTGCGAGGCCGTGAGCCCGCAACTGTTTAGTAATGTCCCTAACATATTTCTAACTTATGTAGTCCTAGGCATGGTATGGTACCATACCTAGGCCACGTCATACTTGGTGCAATTCCATATATTGTTTACCGAATGCATGCTTCTAGTGTATAGCCATGGTATGATAGTGATGTCCCATTCCATACTGGGGTTTCTTCGCCTTGCAGTAATACCGGTAGTAGTTACGGTACCTACCGTACCGTGCATCAATTACCGTACCATAGTCCAAGGAATAAAATATATGATAACTCAAGCAGCACTCGAGTTGAATCTTACCTGTAGTCCACGCTTCACAAAGCTCTCTCCTAAATTCATACAAAGGGGCCAGGAGTAATTCACCTCAACCCTCCCAAACGATGTAGGACACACCAGCCCTACTCCAGCAGAACACTGGATACCCTCTATAAGCTGGCTTACAAAATCTGAAGCAGCCCCCCTCGACCGCATCTTGACAAATTCGATCTGCTGTTTCCCTCCCACCCCTCCCATATCCTCTCCTCGCACAGTGGCAACAAACGCGTGCGCGTGCAAAGAGGGCAGATTCAAGGGGCGGAGTAGCGGATGAGAGGCGTGCGGAAGGAGGAGATTCCGGAGGGGCGAGGGCAGGTCGAAGGAGAGAGTGGTGATGGCAGATGCTGTAACACTGGGTGATGATGCAGGTGATGCGGAGGAAGGGGAGGGGGGTGAGCAGAGGGAGGGATCAAACGAGGAGAATCCCGGCGAGTGGGAGGAGAGGAGGGCAGACGGCAGGGAGAGGGGGAAGCTGGAGCCCAGGCGGAGAGAGGTATGGAGAGATGCAGAGGCAGCGGGGATGGGAAGGGAAGCAGCAAGCACAGCTTCCTGCTTCACCAGCCCTCCAATGCCTTTCTGCAGGTCCAGAAGCTCCACTGTGCAGCTACCAGCCAGCCCTAATGCTCCTCCCACCCTCATGTCCCTCCCATTGCTAAATTTCCCGCTGCTGTGTTTCCGTCTGATGGAATTCACACTGCTGTGCCGCCCATTGCAGCACTCCTTGTGCTTCCAGCTGCATGCTCTCCCCATCTCGTCGCCGCCGCTGCTAGAATCCAAGTTGCCGTCGTCCCTGGGTGTGCTCCCAGTGCTCCCAGTGCTCCCAGTGCTCCCAGTGCTCCAGTCCCAACGGTAGCGCAGCCCAAGAAAGGGGCTGCTGCACTCTGCTGTCTCCCTGACGCTGTTGCAACTGTCCCCGTCTGAACCGCCACCGCCGCCGCCGATGCTGCTGCTCTCGCTTTCACTGTCACTGATGTCACTGCTGTTTCTGCTGCTGTGGTAGCTGCCGTTGCTGCTGGTATCAGAGGCGCTGCAGCAGCGGCTGGAAGCAACTGACCGAACTGATGCTGCAGAGGCTGAAGCAGCTGAAGGAGCTGAGGAGATATTTCCGGGTTGCTTGTTCTTGGTAGCGCGGAGGGCGAGGAGCAGGTGGAGTGAGTGATGGGAGCGGAAGGAGGGGGAGGAAAGAGGGGTGGGGGATGCAGGAGGGGGTGAGGGAGGGGGGGGGAGGAGAGGGATGGAGTAGATTTGGCGGAGAGAGGGGAGAGGGACGGAGGAGCGGAGGGAGTGGAGTAGAGAGGGGATGGTGGCAGTTGCTGAGGGGAGGGAGGAGGGGAGTAGAGGGGGAGAGAGGAGGAGGTCAGGGCAAAGGGTATCCGAGAGAGGAGAGGAGTGAGGGTGGTTGAGGTGGTATGTGAGGGAGAGGTGAGAGAGGAGGGAGGAGGTAATGGCGATGAGAGTGGATAGCGGAAGGTGGGAGAGAGGGGGAGAAGACGCGTTGTGGGCATCCGCGTGGGGTGATGAAGGTGCTTCGCTCTGCGGGACGGGGAGGAGGGGAGTGGGGATATGAGTGACGGGAGGAGACAGGTATAAAAGAAACGAGGTAGAGGAGGGCAGGCGGTAAGGCGGAAGGTGGAAGAGGGAACTACTGTCTATTGGGCAAGAGGGCAAGGGGATGTACAAGAGGGAAACAGGAGGCGATAGAGGATATATGTACATGTGTGGGGACCACGTGAGGCAATGCTAGAAATGAACAGCGAAATGACTGGGAAATCAGATCGAACTGAGGTCCGACCGTGAACCTGCACTGCACGCCCCAACACCCAGAAATGCCCAACGCCCCAACACCAACACGCTCTCTTTGAAAGCATCTCGTTGCACGCACCAGGTCAAGATACGACCTCAGCCTGTCCTCCACATCTTGCATTGCCGCTCCTCTCGCTGCCTCGCCCTCTGCGCCTGTCCCTCCTCCTGCCGCTGCCCCTCCGCCTGCCCCTGCCCCTGTGCCTGACTCTGCGTCCCCTTCCCGCCCTAACCCCTCGTCCACACCGGCTGGCATCCCAAACGGCTGTGATTCCCCATCCGACTCATCTGACGGCCCTGCGCGCCCCAAATTCGCCGAGACCCGCGCAGCGTCCCCCTGAGAGCCACGGTCCCCCGCTCTATTGCGGAGCTGCTGGTCTAGATCGATTCCCAGGGGGAAGCCGCCATTGCCTACACACGGCTGCTGCCGCCGCTGCCCACGCCGCTGCTGCCGTCAGCGAAGCTACTGCCACCCCATCCTACATTGCCGCCGCCGCCCCCGCCGCCACCGCCGCCACCGCCGCTGCCGCCACCGCCGCCGAGGCCGAAGCCAGCGCCAAATCCCGTTAGCCTAACCGTCGCCCCGCGAAGCTCGCGGAACGTCGCCGACACCTTCGCGACGTCTGGTAACGACGCCACTGGATCGCGGCGACGGCGGCGATGGCTGTGGCGGCTTCGGCGGCGGCGGCGACGTGACGATGAGGCAGTGAGTTGATTCGTGGCCAAGATTACCGGGTATAATCTCAGATGTCTGAGACTAGCAGTGGTAGTGGTAAGGCGCACAGATTGTCGCGTCAGCGTGTATCGCGGATGCTGGGCCGCGGCCGCACCGCCAAGGTCGTGCTTGGCAGCAGTATGGAAAAGGATCTCCGTGTCGCCTGGTTCTCGAAACAACCTTTGAGTCGACTCAAAAGTCATCTCGTCGCCTGATTCTCGTCGTTCTTGACCCGCCGTTACACCGCCGCCACCCCCGCCGCTGCCGCCGCCGCCGCCGCCGCAGCCAGAGCCGCTGGCAGCAACGGTTTCACTTCTCCCGCTCGTCGTCGTCGCCGTCGTTGTGGTCGTCGTAATTATCTTCCTCGCCCGCCGAGGCACGGCCCCGCTTCCATCATCGCCATCCAACGCCCCGCTGCTGCTCCTAGTAATCGTTTCAGTGGCCTTTCGGAATCGCGCACCCCATGGTGGCCCCATCTCGATCAGATTTTCGAAATCCTTAGCTCCTTCACGGCCCCGTTCTCCCTTCTCTCACTGCGATTTACGAGGGTGTTCCCGAGAAAGGGAGTTTGGAACTCCAGCCCAAATTCTCGAATCCGTAGTAGATTCTGGATCTCTAAGGCTGCAGCTGTTGTATTCATATCATAGTATAGAACCTCACAAAAGCATCTTCAGCTCCAGTAATGCGGAAAGTTTATGATAATGCATCCATTGCAATGCACGGCTTCCCCAACACACAGGAGTGGCTAACGCGCTGGTCTAACACCCGCGTCGCGCATTCCCCGAGGCAACTGGCTTGGCTGGTCTGGAAGTTTGGTCTGGGCAAACGCGTTGCGTACGTGCCCTGCTTGGTGGGCATGGCTGCTGCACTGCTGCCGCTGAACCGAGCCTGTGTTGCTGTCACATACATCTCTCCCTGCGAGGAAGCCAACAGCGGGGCGGGTTACTGATGAAGTGCCCCCAGCGAAAGATCTGATTGGGTCAAAAGGGCCCGTGCACGGGGCAGCTGCTGACCAGCATCCTGCTTACACGGACACGTCTGCAACCATTGCCAGCGACTTCCCGCACGAAATGCCAGTTCAGCACCACTCATATCTTCCAGCGTGGAAAAGCTGCTCTGGTTTGTCGGGCAGTGGACAAGGAGCAGCGGACTTCGCTTCCTTCGGTACACTTCCCTGTTGGAAAATAGGAAAGTAGCTGTGGAATAATTCCATATTTAGTTGCATATGAGGGCCAACCCTTGCTGTTAATAAAATAGTTCAGACAGGTCAATAATAGCCGCTCTCTTATATGGAGGCATTTTATAATCAATCAGGTTTACGATTTTTTTGGGAGTAAAATATGATCAGAATTGTGAAGTAGGTCGCCAATAACTCATACAATCTAACCGATGTAGCAGGGAAACGCGAATATGACTACCGTAGCCGGCAAACTACACAAACACAATGTCGCGTATAATGCCTGGGAACTTCTGGATGCTTCTGTTGCTAGCACTCCACTCCAATCAGTTTGACTTCCTCGCATTCGCATTGTAGATCGATGGTCTTCATCGCGCATTGACTTCCCGTTCCGTTCCGTCCTAAACTACCACCTGTAGCGGGCCCCCTCCCAATTTTTCCTGTCACCTTTCCGTCAAACTTTCTGTTGCTTGTTTCTAGTTTTTGTGTCCCATCGTTCCGGCCGCATTTCTTCTCGTTCCCATCCTCCTGCCACGGCCGACCGTCCGTCCCGTTCAACCCGGATCGGCATGGCGGGTCCATGGCGCGCGATAGTGCGCCTCGCTGCCGTGCTATGCGCGCTGCACATGGCCGCGGCGCAGTTCGAGGCGCCGGAGTTCAACATCGCGGTGCGCAAGGCGGACATTCCGCTGATCAAGTGCGACGTGTGTCGCAAGATGGCGGAGCAGCTGGACCAACAGGTGGAGCGCGAAAGAGAAAAGGCGGAGCCCAAGAAGGTGCGTGTTGGGGGGGGAAGGCGGATGGGTTGGGGGAAAGGGGACGGCGGAGGCGGTCGGGGAGGGCAGAGCGCGTGGAGGATTAGGAAGAAGGGGTGGGAGGGGGAGGAGGGAGGGGGGGATGCAGGGAAGAGGGGAGAGGTGAGATAGGGTGGTGGGAAGGGGGAAGGGGGGGGGGGGGGGGATTTCGTGAACGAGTGGCGGGCATTCCGTTCATCAAGTGCGACGTGTGTCGCAAGATGGCGGAGCAGCTGGACCAGCAGGTGGAGCGCGAGAGAGAGAAGGCGGAGCCCAAGAAGGTGCGCGTTGTGGGCGGGGGAGAGGGCGGACGGGGAGGGAGGGGAGAGGGTAGGAAGGAAGGGTACATGGAGGGAAGAGGGGAGAGAGAGGAATGGGGGGAAGGCGGGCTTCGTAAACGGGTTGCGGATATCGCGTCTCCGCATTGCGAGGATGTGACGGGCGGTAGGGCGTGCGACGACGGGTAGAGCGAGGCGGCACGGGTCGAGGCGAGACATAGCAAGGCGCGAAGTCGTAGTCTTCAACCGCGCGCAAGCACGCGCGATGGTTGAGTCATGCTTTAATTCGTACCGTTTCCTGGCGCAGAAGGTGCGCGCGCAGCAGGTGCGGAGCAGGTGCGCGCGCAGGAGCGCGGGAGGGGAAGGGTGAGTCGAAGAAGGTGCAGATGGATTAGGCGGGGCGGGTAGGAGGAAGGAGAGGGGCGGGGTGGTGGAGGTGGGTTGGGGGGGTGAGAGAAGGGGGGATGGGGGAAGGGTATACGAGGGAGGATTGGAATTTGCGTTGCTGCTATTGCTGCTATTGCTGCTCCGCGCTGCGACGACAGCATGCGCGTGCACGCAGCTGTGAGTGACACAGTTACGACTCAGGCCGGACGGACGGTGCGCGAGGGCATGCAAGAGGAGGAGTAGCAGTGAAGAGGCATGCAAGTGAAGAGGCATGCAAGTGAAGAGGCATGCAAGTGAAGAGGCAACCACCACCCCATTTTTTGTCTCTTTCTGTCATCCCCCTCCCCCTCCCCGTCTCCCTCCCCCTCCCCTTCCTCCTCCCCATCCCCCTCTCCCTCCCCCTCCCCTTCCTCCTCCCCCCCCCCCCCCCCCCCCCCTCTCCCTCCCCCTTCCCTTCCCCCTCCCCCTCCCCCTCTCCCTCCACTTCCCACTCCGCCTCCGCTCCCTTCCCCCTCCACCGCACCCCCCGCGCGCGCAGGTGAGCGAGTTGAAGGTGGTAGAGGTGGCGGAGAAGCTATGCGACGTCAAGAGCGTTCCAGCATCCCTATCCCTCTCTCCCTCCCTTTCGCCTCTGCCTACCCTCCCTTTCCCGTCCCCCCCTCTCCCCCCCCCCCTCTCCTCCTCTCATTCCCCCCCTCCGCGCGAGCAGGTGAGCGAGTTGAAGGTGATAGAGGTGGCGGAGAAGCTGTGCGACGTCAAGAGCGCCAACGGCGGGTGGATCACGCGCCTCGACATCGTGGAGAGCGGCGACCTGCTCAAGGTGCGCTATTCGTGTGTGTGTGGGGGTGGGTGGGTGCGTGGGTGGGTGCGTGGATGTGTGGTGGGTGGGTGTGGGTGTGCGGGTGGGTGTGGGTGTGCGGGTGGGTGTGGGAGTGGGGGGGAGAGAGAAGGGGGGGGGGGTGTACGTGTGTGCGTGTGCGTATGTGGATGCGCGTATGGGTGCGTGTGTGGTTGGGTCGGTGTGGTGGGTGAGTGGGTGTAGTATATATTCTATGTCCTCCGCCATCCCCTTCCATCCGCTATTGCTGCGTTCCCTCACCCCCGTCCCGTTTCGGCCTTTCTCCTTTCCCTTTATTCCTTCACCGTTCCTGTTTCCCCCTCTTTTTTTTTTGTTTTTTTTTTTCTTACCCCCCTGTCCCCCCCTCTCCCTGCGCCCTCTCCCCTCCCCGTTTCCCCCCGCATGTTCCCTCTCCCTGATTCAACCGAATGTCCTCCCTCCCTGTCCCCACCCCATTCACCTTCCCCCTCTTGTCCTCTTCCTGTCTCTGCCCACCCCCCATTTCCCCTCTGCCTTCCCCAATTTCCCTTGCACGCATTTGGCCCGCATTCGGCCCGCATCCCCTACCCCCCGCCCATGCGCAGTTAATAGAGCACGAGGAGGATGGGGAGTGTCTGTCCGAGTGCAAGACCATTCAACGCGCCTGCCAGGACGTGAGCCGCCCTGCCCTGCCCTGCCCTGCCCCGCCCCGCCCTGCCTTGCCTCGCCTCACCTTCCCTCGCCCTGACTCGTCTCGCCTTCCCTTTCCCTTTTCTATAACTTATTCTGAACAAAAACCGGTTTGTCTGCGACCTTTGCTCCTCAAAGCTTCTTGTATCTCTTGACATGCCCACCTTGCTTACCCTCTCCCTTTCCCTCTCCCTCTCCCTCTCCCTCTCCATCTCCCTCTCCATCTCCCTCTCCCTCTCCCTCTCCTCCCTTCCTGCCATTCCTGCTGTTTATTATTCTCCACACGATCTCCATGCATCCTCCCCACTTCATGTGCTCCTCCCCTCACGTCCATCTTCGCCCCAACACCTCCCTCACTCTCTTTCTCCCCCTCCCGCTCCCTCAGTCTGCAAAACACGAGAGCATGACACGTCCGGACGTGGCAGAGAGGATATTTGTGCCGTGTGCCATTGTAACGAGGTGACTTTTGAGTCGACTCAAAAGTCACGGACGGACGGACGTGGCAGAGAGGATATTCAACCACGAGCCCTTTTCGCCCCCTTCTCTCTCCCCCTTCATTCATCATCCATCCCCTTGTCTCCTCGTTGCACTTCGTCCCTCTCTCCCCCCTCCCCCCCCCCATCCACAGATCATGGGAGAGCATGACACGGACATAGCGGTGAGGCTGCCTCTGCTCCTCCAAGCCCCCCAACACTCCCTCCCCTGCCCCCCCACCTCCCTGCTACTCCTCTCCCCCCATCCACAGATAATGGGAGAGCATGACACGGACATAGCAGAGAGGATATTCAACGATGAGCCCTGTTCTGCTCCCTCACCCATCCCCTCATCTCCCCACTACACTTGTTGTCCCTCTCCCCGCTCTCCCTCTCTCTCCCCCCATCCACAGATAATGGGAGAGCATGACACGGACATAGCAGAGAGGATATTCAACGATGAGCCCTGTTCTGCTCCCTCACCCATCCCCTCATCTCCCCACTACACTTGTTGTCCCTCTCCCCGCTCTCCCTCTCTCTCCCCCCATCCACAGATAATGGGAGAGCATGACACGGACATAGCAGAGAGGATATTCAACGATGAGCCCTGTTCTGCTCCCTCACCCATCCCCTCATCTCCCCACTACACTTGTTGTCCCTCTCCCCGCTCTCCCTCTCTCTCCCCCCATCCACAGATAATGGGAGAGCATGACACGGACATAGCAGAGAGGATATTCAACGATGAGCCCTGTTCTGCTCCCTCACCCATCCCCTCATCTCCCCACTACACTTGTTGTCCCTCTCCCCGCTCTCCCTCTCTCTCCCCCCATCCACAGATAATGGGAGAGCATGACACGGACATAGCGGAGAGGATATTTAACGACGAGCCCTCGCAGTCCTCCCTGCAGCGCCACCTCTGCCACGACATCAGCAAGGCCTGCTCCTCCAAGCCGCCGCCCGTGCCCCAGGTGAGGGGCCACTTGTGGGTTGCTTCGAAACAGCCCACCTTGGATTGAGGCTCCTCATAACCCCCAAGAGCCCTCGCAGTCCTCCCTGCAGCGCCACCTCTGCCATGACCTCAGCAAGGCCCGCCCCCCGTGCCGCAGGTGAGGGGCCACTTGTGGGTTGCTTCACAACTTCCCACTTTGATTGAGGCACCCTAAAACAGCCCACTTTTGGTGGAGGAGGATCGCAGGTGCTTCAGCAGCCCTCGCAGAATAACCTCCCTGCAGCGCTATCTCTGAGTTGACTTGTGAGTCGACTTAAAAGTCAACCCTGCAGCGCTACCTCTGAGTTGACTTGTGAGTCGACTTAAAAGTCAACCCTGCAGCGCTACCTCTGAGTTGACTTGTGAGTCGACTCAAAAGTCAACCCTGCAGTGCTACCTCTGAGTTGACTTGTGAGTCGACTCAAAAGTCAACCCTGCAGCGCTACCTCTGAGTTGACTTGTGAGTCGACTCAAAAGTCAACCCTGCAGCGCTACCTCTGAGTTGACTTGTGAGTCGACTCAAAAGTCAACCCTGCAGCGCTACCTCTGCCGTGACCTCAGCAGGGCTCGCCCTCCACCCCCCTCACTCCTTCCTCCTTCCCTACCGTGCCTCGTGGGAGTCTTGAGACTTGAAGTCCTAGCTAAAACTGTGGAGGCACTAGCGGTTGTTGCATGGTTGGATATTTTAGATTCTATGCAAGAGGCCTTTTCAGGCTTGTGCGCAAGGCACATGGAGCGGAACTCTAGCAATCCGTTGGAATTTTTCCTTCTTACCTCCCATCTATCGGACCTCCCTTTCTCCCTCTCCTCACTCTCTCGCTTCCGATATAATTAGTCTGCCACGCCTGCTCTCTCTGATCTTCCCTGCTCTGCTTTACTGTGCCGTGCCGTGCTGTGTGCTGCTCTGCTCTGTTGTGGTGTGTTGTGTTGTGGGGCACACAGGACCGCGAGCCAGGGGAGAACTGGCAGAAGAAGGACACCAGCCCCCCGGACTTTTGAGGCGCCTAAATAACCCGCTCTGCTCTGCTCTGGCGTGCTGTGCCGTGTGCTGCTCTGCTCTGCTCTGTTGTGGTGTGGGCACACAGGACCGAGAGCCAGGGGAGAACTGGCAGAAGAAGGACACCAGCCCCCCGGACTTTTGAGGCGCCTAAATAACCCGCTCTGCTCTGCTCTGGCGTGCTGTGCCGTGTGCTGCTCTGCTCTGCTCTGTTGTGGTGTGGGCACACAGGACCGAGAGCCAGGGGAGAACTGGCAGAAGAAGGACACCAGCCCCCCGGACTACAGCAAGATGGCCAAGGAGATGAACATCCCCACCAGCGTCATGCATGATGAGGTGCGTCACAGCACCACACCACGCATCACCGCACCCGTGCACACATGCACGCATGCACATAGGAAGGAGAAGGACACCAGCCCCCCGGACTACAGCAAGATAGCCAAGGAGATGAACATCCCCACCAGCGTCATGCATGATGAGGTGCGCGGCAGTGTGATGCAGCACATAGGCGTGCATTGGATGCACGGATGCATGCACACATGTACACATGCACACATGCACACATGCACGGATGCATGCACACATGCACACATGCACACATGCACACATGCACGGATGCATGCACACATGCACACATGCACGGATGCATGCACACGTGCACACATGCACGGATGCATGCACACATGCACACATGCACACATGCACACATGCACACATGCGCACATGCGCACATGCACACATGCACACATGCACACATGCACACATGCGCACATGCGCACATGCACACATGCACACATGCGCACATGCACACATGCGCACATGCACACATGCGCACATGCGCACATGCGCACATGCACACATGCGCACATGCACACATGCACACATGCGCACATGCGCACATGCGCACATGCACACATGCGCACATGCGCACATGCGCACATGCACACATGCGCACATGCACACATGCGCACATGCGCACATGCACACATGCACAGAGCCCCTTGGGTTGGTCTACAGCAAGATGGCGAAGGAGATAAGTATCCCCACCCGTGTCATTTGAGTCGACTCAAAAGTCACCTCAGCAAGATGGCTAAGGAGATAAGTATCCCCACCCGTGTCATGCACGATGAGGTACGCCGTACAGCACACATGCACGCATGCACGCATGCACGAATGCACCGTGCCTGCACTTGTTATACTGACCTTCCCCTTTCACTGTCCTCGTCTCCAACGTTCTACTGCTCGTGAAGGACTTTGCACCCCCGGCTGGCCTTTGCACCCCTGGCTGGCCTTTGCACCCCTGGCTGGCCTTTGCACCCCTGGCTGGCCTTTGCACCCCTGGCTGGCCTTTGCACCCCTGGCTGGCCTTTGCACCCCTGGCTGGCCTTTGCACCCCTGGCTGGCCTTTGCACCCCTGGCTGGCCTTTGCACCCCTGGCTGGCCTTTGCACCCCTGGCTGGCCTTTGCACCCCTGGCTGGCCTTTGCACCCCTGGCTGGCCTTTGCACCCCTGGCTGGCCTTTGCACCCCTGGCTGGCCTTTGCACCCCTGGCTGGCCTTTGCACCCCTGGCTGGCCTTTGCACCCCTGGCTGGCCTTTGCACCCCTGGCTGGCCTTTGCACCCCTGGCTGGCCTTTGCACCCCTGGCTGGCCTTTGCACCCCTGGCTGGCCTTTGCACCCCTGGCTGGCCTTTGCACCCCTGGCTGGCCTTTGCACCCCTGGCTGGCCTTTGCACCCCCGGCTGGCCTTTGCACCCCCGGCTGGCCTTTGCACCCCCGGCTGGTCTTTGCACCCCCGGCTGGCCTTTGCACCCCTGGCTGGCCTTTGCACCCCCGGCTGGCCTTTGCACCCCCGGCTGGCCTTTGCACCCCTGGCTGGCCTTTGCACCCCTGGCTGGCCTTTGCACCCCCGGCTGGCCTTTGCACCCCCGGCTGGCCTTTGCACCCCTGGCTGGCCTTTGCACCCCCGGCTGGCCTTTGCACCCCTGGCTGGCCTTTGCACCCCTGGCTGGCCTTTGCACCCCCGGCTGGCCTTCGCACCCCCGGCTGGCCTTTGCACCCCCGGCTGGCCTTTGCACCCCCGGCTGGTCTTTGCACCCCCGGCTGGCCTTTGCACCCCTGGCTGGCCTTTGCACCCCCGGCTGGCCTTTGCACCCCCGGCTGGCCTTTGCACCCCTGGCTGGCCTTTGCACCCCTGGCTGGCCTTTGCACCCCCGGCTGGCCTTTGCACCCCCGGCTGGCCTTTGCACCCCTGGCTGGCCTTTGCACCCCCGGCTGGCCTTTGCACCCCTGGCTGGCCTTTGCACCCCTGGCTGGCCTTTGCACCCCCGGCTGGCCTTTGCACCCCCGGCTGGTCTTTGCACCCCCGGCTGGCCTTTGCACCCCCGGCTGGCCTTTGCACCCCCGGCTGGCCTTTGCGTCATGCTTCCATGCAATTGATTTTCAACCCCAACTGAGTCTCAACCCCCAGCTGCCCTACCCTCTTCGCCTCTACCTTCAACCACAATCCTCTCGAACCTCTTCCATCTTTAATCACCCTTCTTCCGCTCACCTCTAGACGCCCCTCCAACTCTTCAACCCAACCTTCATCTCCCCCCTTGTCGAAACAAAAACCCCTTGGTTTGTCTGTCCATCCCCTGTGTTGTGTGTATTGCATAATTGCGCCATGCACCACCATACCATCAGGCGGCCATCAAGGACATCAAGATGCCCAAGGGCATGGGCATGCCGGAAGAGGCTGTTTCTGAGCCGCCTGAGGAAGGAAGAAATCCCCTTTGCCTGTTTCCCCGTGTGCCTCTGCTTGCCTGTGTGTGTATTGCACCATCAGGCGGCCATCAAGGACATCAAGATGCCCAAGGGCATGGGCATGCCTGAAGAGGTATGTGCGCCCTGCTCTCCGCTCTCTGCTCTCTGCTCTCTGCTCTCCGCTCTCTGCTCTCTGCTCTCTGCTTTCTGCTCTCTGCTCTCTGCTCTCTGCTCTCCGCTCTCCGCTCTCCGCTCTCTGCTCTCTGCTCTCTGCTCTCTGCTCTCTGCTCTCTGCTCTCTGCTCTCTGCTCTCTGCTCTCTGCTCTCTGCTCTCTGCTCTCTGCTCTCTGCTCTCTGCTCTCTGCTCTCTGCTCTCTGCTCTCTGCTCTCCGCTCTCCGCTCTCCGCTCTCCGCTCTCTGCTCTCTGCTCTCTGCTCTCTGCTCTCTGCTCTCTGCTCTCTGCTCTCTGCTCTCTGCTCTCTGCTCTCTGCTCTCTGCTCTCTGCTCTCTGCTCTCCGCTCTCCGCTCTCCGCTCTCCGCTCTCCGCTCTCCGCTCTCCGCTCTCCGCTCTCCGCTCTCCGCTCTCCGCTCTCCGCTCTCCGCTCTCCGCTCTCCGCTCTCCGCTCTCCGCTCTCCGCTCTCTGCTCTCTGCTCTCTGCTCTCTGCTCTCCGCTCTCCGCTCTCCGCTCTCCGCTCTCCGCTCTCCGCTCTCCGCTCTCCGCTCTCTGCTCTCTGCTCTCCGCTCTCCGCTCTCCGCTCTCCGCTCTCCGCTCTCCGCTCTCCGCTCTCTGCTCTCTGCTTCCATGCGTCCATGTATCCATGCTTCCACTGCACTTGCAAGTCAAACTCTCCATGTACAGCCATTACACTCCCTCTTGCCATCCTCCCCTTCCTTTTCTCTCTCTACGCACTTGTCACGTCACACTTATCGAGACTGTATGCACTCACTGCCCTACACCCACGTGTGATGAGACAATATTCTAGTCAACTCAATATCAATCCTTCTCCATCTCCACGCGTTTTTCCCTCTGCACTCTACAAGACAGTATACACTCACCTGCCCCAATGCTCCGCACCCAAAACAGTTGACTCAAGAGCCACCTTCCACTCCGCAAAACCATCAACCCATGAACCCAACAGGTGTTCGAGCGTCAGCAGGAGAAGCAAGCAGCTGGGGGGCCGGCTTTAGAGTTGACTCAAACGGCACACCCCACTTTCCACAACCCAGGCCCTCCATTCCACTCCCCACTCCCCTCACCCATCAACCCATGAACCCAACAGGTCTTCAAGCGTCAGCAGGAGAAGCAAGCAGCTGGGGAGGCGAAAGCAGCAGCGGGCGGGGGCAAGAAGAAGAAGGGGAGCAAGAAGGGCGGCAGCAGCAGCAAGGAGGAGCAGATGGGGGAGGTGTATGCACAGGCAGAGGAGGCAGCGAAGGGAGGCAAGGAGGAGATTGTGAAGTTTGTTGAGAAGATGACCGGCAAGAAGGTGGAGGACAAGGAGCCTGAGACTGAGACTGCTGGTTATGACGAACTGTGATGGCGTGGGGGGGAGGGGGGAGGGGAGGGAGGGAGTGAGGGTGAGGGAGGGCAGGAGGGAGAGAGGGGGGACAGCAAGAGCAGCAGCGGCAGCAGCAGCAGCAACGAGGGAGCGATGGGAGGTGCATTCACAGGGTGGAGGCAGCAAAGGGGGGCCGGGAGGAGATTGTGAAGTTGGTAAAGAAGATGACCGGCAAGAAGGTTCCTGAGGAGGAACCAGAGGCCGCTGGGTATGATGAGCTGTGGTTGCGTGAGGGGGGGGAGGGGAGGGAGGGAGGGGTTAGGGAAAGAGTGAGAAAGGGACGGAGGGAGTGAGGCAGGGAGGTGAAATGGGGCACATGGGGATGGGGGTGCGAGGAAGAGAAGTTGATAGGCGTTGCTGTGTGTTGTGATGGGGAAACAGGGGGCTAGTTTGGCAAGCCCATTGGCGGATATGCTATTGCAGGTACTGGTAGGTATGTTGGACTGCGTATGTTCCACTTGTTCGTGCTTGTGGTGCGCTTCCGTGTGGTGCTGTTCTGTGTTCTATGACCGTGGGGCCGTGAGCTGTGGCCTTCATGCGGCAGCCTGACGTGATCTTCACAGCTACGGTACACCACTGCTGTCATTTGTTATAACAATCAAGTATTGATTCTTAAACCTTGTTTGGTGAAATTTGAGAGCTTTTGTAACGGAAGAGCACCAAATAAGATCCCCCTACCAGACTCAAAACTGTTGGTGTGCCAAAAACATTGGCAGATTTTTTAAGACCTATGGACAGCAGCAAGTGCAACACCCCACATTCGTGCACTGCACTATATCGTACTCGCTACTACCGTATTACCAAACTACACCTCGCATCGCCGCAACAGCGTTCTTCTTTCCTTGTTCGTTTTCACTGGCACACGACGTCGGAATAGAAGACAATCTGAAGGCTCGTGACGCAAGAATTCTCAGAAAGGCACACAGTGAATTGCCGCCATGGATTACGAGCATCATCAGCATCACAGGCATCAGGAGCAGCTACTATCACTGGCACACGACGTCGGAGTAGAAGACAATCTGGCGGCGCTCGCAGCTGCGGATGAAGAGCAGCTCGATGTCAAACACCTCGTACTGCTTGGCGCTGAAGAAGGTGGAGGGACCGGTCTGTGGTGGTGCATAGGAGAGGAGGGAAGTGGAGGGAACAGGGATGGAGAGGGAGAGACAAGCAGGAGCGAAGGCAGTCAGGAGACCGGGGCAGATAGGATGGTGAGCAGCTCGATTCAAACACCTCGTACTTGGCACTGAAGAAGGTGGAGGGGCCGGTCTGTGGTGATGCATAGAACAGGGAGGGGCGAGAGGGAGCACATGGGGGAGGGAGAGACAAGGGGGGAGTGCAGGAGAGCAGCGGTGAAGAGAGCAGGAGTGCCAGCAGCTCGATGTCAAACACCTCGTAGTGCTTGGCGCTGAAGAAGGTGGAGGGGCCGGTCTGATGAGGGAGGGGTGGGAGAGGGAGAATGGGGTTGAGGGGAGGGAGAGACAAGCAGGGAGTGAAGGCGGTGAGGAGAAAGGGGGAAGGCACAGAGCAAGCAGGGAATGAAGATGGCGAGCAGCTCGATGTGAAACATCTCGTACTGCTTGGCGCTGAAGAAGGTGGAGGGGCCGGTCTGTTGCTTGCGATGCATGGGAGAGGTGGGGGTGAGGGGTTGGAAGAGAGAGTGAATGGATCTGGTATGGGGAAGGGAGTGACCAGCAGGGGGTGAAGGTGGTGAGGAGAAGCGGGCGTGGCGGGAGAGAGAGAGAGAGGCGGGGGAGCAAGAAAGGCAGAACAGGGTAAAGGGAGAGCGAGGGAGCGAGAACGGTGAGACAGGAGAGGAGCAAGTGCGGGTGAGAAGCATGTGTCTCGCCTCTGACTGAGTAGACTCAAAGAACGACTCAAACAACGCCTTACCGGGGGTCCAAGCTCAGGAGGGATGACGATGCGCCTGCGACCCCCCGCCCTCATGCCGCTGATACCCTCCTCAAACCCTGCACAGGGGGCAAGAGCACACAGACAGATCAAGGGGCACACAAGGCAAGAGCATGCACGGGAGGGCAAGAGAGGGAGACAAGGCTGTGAGAAGCTGGGATAGGACGAGAAAGCGGCAACCGGGGAAGGATGATGTGAGGCGCTGTGAGCTGGGTGCAGGGTCTCGGGCATGGAGGCTTGGGCATGGAGGCTTGGGCATGGAGGCTTGGGCATGGAGGCTTGGGCATGGAGGCTTGGGCATGGAGGCTTGGGCATGGAGGCTTGGGGATGGAGGCTTGGGGATGGAGGCTTGGGCCCGTTCAACATTTGGATATAACAACCATTGTTCTGGAATTTTGTGAGGCATGGCAAGTGAGAGACCTGGGATCATGCCGTTCATGCCGACTCTGGTCTTGGCAGGGCGAGATTAACTTTGAAGGACTCAAAAGGGGTATGGCATTCAATGGCATGGCATGGCATGGCATGGCAAGTGAGAGACCTGGGATCATGCCGTTGATGCCGACTCTCGTCTTGGCGGGGCGGCCCTGCAGGTAAGTGCTGTCCACACGCCTGCCCGACTCGTTAAAGCCTATGTAGTTGAACTCCACCTGTCGTGCCATGGGAGCAGACAGGGGAGGAGAGGGGAGGGGAGGGGAAGGGAAAAAAGTGGTGGCAAATGGGTGAAAGAGGAGGAAAAACAGATGCAAGTGCTGTCCACACGCCTGCCCGACTCGTTAAAGCCTATGTAGTTGAACTCCACCTGCCGTGCCATGGGAGCAGACAGGGGGAGGAGGGGGGAGGGGGTGGGGGGGGGGGGGGGGGGGGGGGGGGAGGAAGAAAGGGGGAGGAGGGAGGAGAAGGGAGGGGAAGGGAAAGAGGTGGTGACATTGAGGAGGAAGTGAAGGAGATACAGCGGTCAGGGCTGTGCAGCGTCTGCCTGGCTAGTTGATTGAAGCCTGTGAGCCTATGTAGGTAAACTTCTCCTACTGCGGGCCATGGGAGGGAACACGGGATATATGGGGCAGTGGAAATGGGGCAGGGGACAGGAAATTAGGGATACGAGTCCTGGTCAGAATTAATCTGGCGCATCATAAATGGTGGTGGGAATCGAACTGGAAAGGGAGGTGGGGTGGGTGGGTGGAGGAGAAGTGGGCGAAGTATATAGAGCGAATGGAGGCTATGGGGAGAGTGGGGGGGAGGATATGGAGAGGTGAGAGGTTGACTGAGAGAGCAAGGAAGGTGTGCTTACTTACCTCCTGTCCTGATGATGAGAGGTTAAAAAATACGACCGTCTTTTTTAAATTGCTCTATGATTTCTCACAGGAGCCTATTATAGGATACCGTATTTCACGGTAACATTTTAAAAATACGACCGTACTTTTGAACTTCCTGACGATGAGCACTCACCTCCTGTCCTGACGATGGGGGCTCGCCCTCGCCTTCCACTATGTCCCAGTAGATCAGCCCTGCAGGCATGCACGTCATGCACGTCATGCACACAATCACAAACGCACACAGGAAACATGCAAGGACGCGCATAGAAATGGCAGAGGCACAGGTGAAAAATCGAGTGCTGGGAGACGCAGGAAGCGAAGGAACTAGTCAGAACAAGGGGCAATCACAGGGCAGCAGCAGCAGCAGCAGCAGCAGCAGCAGCAGCAGCAGCAGGAGCATACGAGGGGAGGCGGCACGCACCTGTGGGCGACACCAGGTACTCGGGCCCTGTCACTACCTTCACCTCGTACCAAGTCACTACCAAGTGCCGGCTTCTTCCAAGTGACACACACCTGTGGGCGACACCAGGTACTCGGGCCCTGTCACTACCTTCACCTCGAAGCCTGCAGGGACGAGCGGCGAGAGGGGGGGGAGGGGTGAGAAGGGAGAGCGGGGAGAGGGGAGAGGGGAGAGGGGAGAGGGGAGAGGGGGGGGAGGGTGATAGATGCGAGAAGAGGGAGAAGGGAGAAGAGAGAGGGGAGAGGGCGGATAAAGGAGAGGAGAAAGAAAGGGGATAGAGGGAAGAAGAGAGCGAGGGGAGAGAGGAGAGAGAGGAGAGAAGAGAGAGAGTGGGGGGGAGAGGGTAGGAAGGGGAGAATGAGGGGGATAATAGGAGAAAGCTGTTACAGCAAGAAGGGGAATGGGTGGAGAGGGGAGTGGGAGAGATGTACTAGAAAAGAGGATTTGCAAAGGACTCGGTACTAACTTGTGAGACATAATCTCTTTGAAATAAAAAGGGTTGGATCAAGGGAAGGAAAGGGGGGCAAAGGGAGAGCCAAGGGAGATCAAGAAGAGACCAAAGGTTGAAGAATGGAAGGGGGGAAGCAAGCGGGGAGCAAGAGAGCACGTGGGGAGGGGACAACAAATAAATCTCCCACGCATTGTCCATGGGGGCATGCTATCTCAAGATCTGCACCCACTCACTCCTCCTTCATCCTTCACCACCCTGACCCCTACCCCAATTCTTTACCCCCCTATCCCCCCTTTTCCCTCCTCTCCTCCTGGCGCCCCCTTGTGCCCCCTTCCTGTCCCCATCCCTCCCGGTTCCTCCCCCTGTCCGCTAACAACCCTCCCCCTGCCCAGCCCCCTGCCCTCCCCCTTCCCGCCCCCTTTTCCCCCTTTCCTCCCCCTTCCCGCCCCCTGCCCGCCCCAGCGAATCCTGGCGCACGGGGAAGCTTTCAGGCACCAGGTGGGGCGGTGACTGCTAGACCTGAGGCGCCTAAGAAAACCGCACCTTGGCGGATGAACCCCGGGAAGTTCTCAGGAGCCTGGTTGAGGCGGTGGATTGATGCTACTATTGAGGCGCCTCCAAACGTACTTATTTTGGCGGATGAACCCCGGGAAGTTCTCAGGAGCCTGGTTGAGGCGGTGGATTGATGCTACTATTGAGGCGCCTCCAAACGTACTTATTTTGGCGGATGAACCCCGGGAAGTTCTCAGGAGCCTGGTTGAGGCGGTGGATTGATGCTACTATTGAGGCGCCTCCAAACGTACTTATTTTGGCGGATGAACCCCGGGAAGTTCTCAGGAGCCTGGTT